TGAGCTCTGATCAGAATATCCCATCAAAGCTGGACTAAGGCATTCTTGAGTTTCTCTAGCTTGCATCTCCAAACCTTTATAAAGTCCCCCTGTGAATCACAAAGGCTTGATTCAATTACCTTCCAAAAGCCCCACCTGTGACCACATGAGGCCTTTGGAGGATGTTCGCAATCCAAACCATAACACAGTGGAATATTACTCTCTCATGTAAAGAAAGGAACTGCTGGTACATTATATAATATACATTTCACAGAATTAAAAAATATAAATAGCCATTAACATAAAGAAGTTGTTGGATGAATTGCACCCCCCAAAAATTCATATATTTAGGTCCTAACCCCTAATACCTCACATTGTAACTATATTGGAGATAGATCCCTTTTAAGAGGTATGGTAAAATGAAGTCATGAGGATGGCTCCTAATCCACTCTGACTTATGTCCTTATAAAAACTGGAAAGGAAGACAGAAGCAAGCACACAGAGAAGACTATATGAAGGTATTAGAGAAAGATGGTCAACTGCAAGCCATAGAGAATGGCCCTGGGAAGAAACCAAACCTGCCAACACCTTGATACTGGAATTCTGTCTTCCAGACAGTCTAGAAACGCTTCTGATATTTAAGCACACAGTCTCTGGTACTTTGTTATAGCATCCCTAACTACCTAATACAGATGCTTTTCCTCACTAATAATCAAGAAATGGAAATCAAGATCACCAGGAGATTCCATTTACATACCAAAAATAAAGACAGAGCCAGGTGTAGTAGCCCATGCTTGTAAACCCAGCTACTCTGGAGGCTGAGGTAGGAGGCTGAACTACTCAGGGAGGAGTGCAAGTATGACGCCAACCTGAGCAATTTAACCAGACCCTGTTGCAAATTAAAAACAAAAAAATTAAAAAGGGTTAGGGATGTAGCTCAGTGCTCCCTGAGTTCAATCCCCATGAAATGGATGGGTGAGTAGGTAGGTGGTTGGATAGATAGGACTGAGAAAATGGATGTTTATAAGAATATGGATTAATGAAAACTTGTACACTACCCTATGGAGTACAAATTGGTACATCCAATTTGAAAACATTTGGACACAAAGGAGTGTTGTTATAGTTCAGTTAAGTATCCTCATTGTGGTCATGGTTACATGAAACTAAAATATGATAAAAGTATTTTTATACTCACAACACCCAAATGACGCATATATAGTTGGTAAAATCTAAAGAAACTTTATGGTTTGTACCAGTGTTGATTTGTTGTTTGTCATTGTATTAAAATTATGCAAAATGTTGACATTAGGAGGTGAACAGGACCTCTTTGCAATTTTTTTTTCCATTTCCTTGTCTGAAAGTCTAAATCTAAGTGTCAGTAAGCTGTACTCCCTCCACATGCTCTAGGGGAAAATTAGTTTTTTGCCTCTTCCAGCTTCTGAGTTCTCTGTATCTTGGCCAGGTGAACACTCAGAATACTGCCTCAGTGGTCACATTGTCCTCCCCCTTTGTCTATGCTCTCTTTTGAGACTGTTATAAAGACAATTATCATTGGTTGTAGGGTCCATCTGCATAATCTAGAATGATCTGATCTCAAAATCTTTAACCTAATCACATCTGCAAAGAAACTTTATCCAAGTGAGGTACCATGTATAGGTTTCAGGAATTAAGACATGGGTATATATTTTGAGGGACTACTATCCAGCTCTACAGCTGTTAATGTCATAAAAAAAAAGCAAGCCTCCTCATGAAAACAAACAAAAACCAAGCTTGACCAAAACAAACTTACTCCTAGTAAGCGTACAGATTAAAATACCAGTTTAAAGAAATACATTGCAACAAGGATGCAGTCAACAAAATTAAGACTGAAAAACTGCAGAACAAAAACCTAGTTTCTTCAGCAGTTAAATTACAAGAGGGGGAAAAAGAAGGAGGAAGAAATTTATGGTATATGAAAAGAAACCTAAGCAACATCTAGTTGCATTCTAGGACTTTATTGGATCCTGATTTAAGAAATGATTTCCTTAAAAGAAGGAAGAGGGAAATTTGAATGTTAATTGGTTGTTTTGTAAATATTTGTAAATTTTAATACAAATACATTTTCTTAAAAGAGCCTTACTCATTTAGATATCTTACTAAAATATTCATGGTTGAGATGGTACATCTGGAACTTTAATAGAGTTGGGGTAGAAGTAGTAGGTAGGTTTATTGATGAAACAAAATCAGCCATGAGATGTTTTTGGAAATTAAGTGATGAGTACATGAGAATACATCATATTGTCTCTTCTACTTTCATATATGTTTGAAATTTTCCCTAAGAAAAAGTTTAAAATTTTGAAGGTTGTCCTCCCTCATTGGTTTGGTTTGGTTTTGTTTTGTGACAGGGTCTCACTATGTAGTTCAATTCAGGCTGATCTTGTACTCACTATGTAGCCCAGGCTGGCCTCAAATTTGTGGCAGTCCTCCTGCCTTGACCTCCCGAGTGGTGGGATTATAAGTGTGCATCACCAAACCCAGCCCCAAATTTGTTAATGCTTGAGAGTAAGTTTGGCAATAGAAGGATGACCCACATACCTTTTCTACATGGTGATTAATGAGGCTCTGATAGTTGGATTATAAGCTTTAGTTTTTCTGGCTTGAAACTAGAGTCCAGGAAAAGTGCAAAAACACCTTTATTTATTTATTTTTTTATTTTTTTATTTTAAAGATAAAAGGAGGGAAACATTAACAGACATACAACATTTTACAACATATCACAAGCACAATACAGACAATACAGAGTTACAAACAAAGTGGTAGGGAATTAACAATGGTGGTTGTATTACATATTGATATCTTCAAAGTGGCTTCTCATGAAAACAGATATAGACATGCAATACTGGTCAACCAAAGACTCATTGACAGTTTCTTTCAGCATAGAAATAGAAGACAGAAGAACAACCATGTTATCTATCCTGTATATACATGCATACAAAATTTCTCCTTCTTTCCCTTCTCTTTTCCCACATCCCAGAAGCCCTTTACTCTTCAGTGGTTTCCTATCATTTCACAGTGTCTATCATACCTCCGAGTTTAAATTTACTCTTTCAAGTTTTACACTAGTGACACAATGCGGTGCTTGCACATGTATGTTTGATTTATTTCACTTATGAGTATGGTCTCTAGTTGTGACCATTTAAATATAAAGGCCTCGAGTTTATCTTTCTTTACAGCTGAGTAATATTCCATTATATAAAAGTACCATAATTTTCTTATCCAATCCTCGGTGGATGGACATTTGGGTTGCTTCCACATTTTAGCAATTACAAATTGTGCTGCTATGAACATAGGTGCACATATATCACTGTGATATGATGTTTTTAGATCTTCTGGGAAAATACCCAGCAGGGGGATAGCTGGGTTGAATGGGACCTCTAAACCTAGTTTTCGGAGGAATCTCCAAACTGATTTCCACAGTGGTTTCACCAGTCTGCATTCCCACCAGCAGTGGAGAAGGGTTCCTATTTCTCCACAGCCTTGCCAGCATTTGTTATTGGTTGATTTCTTAATGCTAGCCATTCTTACTGGGGTAAGGTGGAATCTTAGTGTTGTTTTAATTTGCATTTCTCGAATGACTAATGATGTTGAACATTTTCTCATATATTTATTTGCCGTTTGTATCTCCTTGTCTGAGAAATGTGTGTTCATCTCAGCTGCCCATTTTTGGATTGGGTCTTTGAATTTGGAGGGGCTGAAATTTTTTAATTCTTTATATGTTCTAGATAGAAGTCCTTTGTCTGAGGTACATGCACATCTAAGGAAATCACCAGCAGAGTCAAAAGAAAACCCACAAAGTTGGAAAAAACACCTTTATTTATTCAGTGTGCCTTCCTAACTAAATTCTCTTAAAATTCTTCTCCCCATCTTACCCTTTGGTCTGAATTAGATATCATCCTCTTGTCTTCTCCCTGTGCCCTCCACGTTCTTCCATAGTATATTTTAATTGTGTAGCCTATTTGCTCTTCCCCGTTTCCACATTATAAAATTACTTCAAAAATACTAACATTGTTTGCTTGTTTTATTCACCTATACATTCCTTCTCACCCCTGCACTTTACATTGGACCTAGGAAGCTCTTTCAATAAATGGTTGGTTGAGTGAGGGGGAGGGAAGCAGTAGAGAACTGGGATTGCACTGGTAAATAAAATGGAAAATACACCTCCTACTTGATCCTTTCCTCAAGTAATCCGTTTTGGATTACCAAGGTAAAGCTACAGAGCTACTTTGAACTTTTTTCTTCTGCCATTTTCTGGCAGAGCTGCTAGTGAGCTATGATTTACTGCAAATGAAAGATAACAGCTCAATAGAACATAGGTTTCTGCACATCATATATTGCTGATTTTCACTCTTTTCTGGGTTATATAATGCAGTGTATTCTTGTTCAAATGGTTACTTACCTATGGTGTTTATTTTACTCCTGTCTGTGTATCATAATTTTCTACATATGTTCCTTTCTAGTCTGTCTTCTTGTTATGCTTTAAGATAGTGATTGCAACAGGGCGCTCTTGAAAAGATGCCAAGAAATACTCTAAAAATACAATTTTCTGCTAGGAATAGGATTACCTGGTAGTTTTCTACTGGATGGCAACCTCCAGGAAACAAGACTTTAAGAGGCTCATAAAACCTTAGAGCTACGAGAAACCAAAGAATAATGTGTTTCTATTCACATACATGTAAGCCCTTATAAAAGATAGCTTTTTGTATCTTTATGTTGTTTTAAAATATTGTCTATTGTCTGGTCTCCAAATCTGGGCGTGTTTCTAAACCAGTACTTTGCAAATCTAGATTTTTGAGAAAATAGGACACATAACTAATAAATCTTACCTTAAATGAAAAAATATATAATATCAATTCTTTTTTACCATATAGTATTGAATGGTTTCTCATTTGTGTAGAAAAGAGCTGATACATCTTAAACTTTAGGTTTTAATTACTGGACTTCTTAACCTTTTTAAAGACTTAAAGGTGTCTTTTTCTCTTTAGGTGGTACGGGACTATAATCTTCAGCTGTTTTTACAAGAGAATGCCGTATTTCACAAACCTCAGCCCTTCCAGTTCCAGCCCTGTGACAGTGATACTGTAAGAGAATTCCGGATTCTCATCTCCTTTGTTGTTGACTTGTGCTTGTTTGTGCTCAAATAGCTTATCCTCAGAATAGACAGGAAAAGCTGAGTCTTGTGAATTTTATAAGAAACTGTGAAGATGTGGAGAAACCATGATGTTTCTTCTTTCTAAAATGTAGCTAACACACCTGGTATCATTATGCTGACCGATTTCTACTGCTTGAGGTTAAATCCCAAGACAAGTTCAGTGAAGACACTGAGGGAGGAAGAAAAAATATTCAACAAATGTAGTCAAATATAAAGTATGACACTTACCCATTAAATTCTTAATGTTACACCCTTCTTAAGAAACCAATGGTTAAATTTTAACCAAAACAGAATTAATAAATGGAATAATAAATATATACATGGAGATATTTTGGTTGGCTTTATAAAAATTATAGACCTTTGGTAATCCCTTTTGGCTTGTAGAATGTTAAAGTATTAACATAAACCCAAAATTGTCAATTTTAAAAGAGCAGAAATTAATCATTTTTTGAGTTTGAGAAGTATTTGTCATTGTTTTTCTTAAAAGCCAAATTATTAATTTAATAATATGAAAAGTAAAATTTAATGTCTTCAAAATGAGAAAGCAGATGTTGGCATAGTAGCACATTCAGTATAGACAAGCCAAGAGGAAAGTCAAATTATACTTATAAGGTCTTTTGTTAAATTTAGGTAGAATCAGGAAGGGTATTATATAGTTCCAGGGTTTAATGGCATCCACTTAGTAGAAATATATTTGCTGGAGGTACCTCATTACTTTTCTTACATTTTAAGTAGTCTTATGTTTATATAAAGAAATGTAGGAAATTAGTATTTCCTTCTACTTGATAATCTTTGTTCTTTATATTAGTGATGTTTTTTACTAATCAGCTTTTACTTAATGGCTCAATGACATTGTCCTAAAATTTGACTTTTGTAAAGACTGGGATGAAGGATGAGGAGCTAGCTCAGTGGCACAACACCTGCCTGGCAAGTGCCACATCCTGAGTTCGAGTCCCAGTACCAAAAAGAAAAAAAAAAATAAGATTGGGGTGAAATAGAGTATGAGAAGATATAGGGCATGACAAGTTTATCAGGCTTAATTTAAAATTGTGATTAATTTGAGATTATTTTATCTTTGCCCATTTGCCTAAGAAAAGTCAGAGTGACAGCAACTCTTCATCTCACTTTTCCAAAACCCGACTGTGCTAAGCCCTAAGTCCTTCTTTGTTTCCTAAAATTGCTCAATGTTCTTAGCTGTTGTGTCCCTAAATTTTGCCTTAAAATTCTAACTCTGTGCTATTTTCTGTCCTGTGCAATCTTTACTGGGCAGAGTTTAAAAGCTGCCCAACTGGTGGATACTGAGCTCTCCCCTGTCAGTGCTCTGAGAATGACCATAGCTGAGGTATATGGGGCTGTGGGTCAAGGGTTGGAGGGATGTGATGTGTGGGTTTGCATGTTAATGAAGGGTGGGACCTGGTGTTGGGATGCAACTTGTATGTATGTATACAGGGGCACTGATTGCATTAGCCTTTTTCTTCTGTTTTTCCCGTATAATTTAGGAATTTCCTTTACTGTATACAGCAAAGAGATTTGAGCTTCTTAATTTTCATTGTTTCTGAATCACTTTAGCTTTCCTCAACAGGGGTGGTAGGAGAACCTGTAGAGTTCATCTTACCTTTATTAAAGGGAAAACAGTAGCTTAATGAGGAAAACAGACTTGGTCATAATAATATTGTGAATGAATGACACATACAGCTTTTATGAAAGTATTCAAGATTGTTGACCAGGCATGGTGGCACATGCCTGTAATCCCAACACTCTGGAGGCTGAAGCAAGAGGATCACCATGAGTTTGAGGCCAGCCTGGGTTATATAAGGGAGTTAAGGCCAGGCTGTACTACATAGTGAGACTCTTACCTCAAAAGAAAAAAACAAAACATTTTTTTTCAAGATTGTCAGCCACTAAAATCTTTAGGATTTTAAAATATTAACTATAAAGTATTTTGTGTGTAGTTTTTGTTGTGTTATAAATTAAATATTCTCATTGCCCACAAAAAAATGAATTCCCAATTTTTTTCCCCTTAGTCCTGAAGATCAAACCTAAGACCTTGTGCATGCTAAGCACTCTCAGCCTTTACTCTCTCGTTGTATCATTCTGGTGGTTGTGAGATATTTCATGGTGGTTTTAATTTATATTGACCTAATGACTAATACTGTTGACCCTATTTATGACCTTATTAGGCATATATCTACTTGGAGAAAATGTCTATTCAAATACTTTATCATTTTTTTATTGGGTTGCTATCCTCTTGTTAAGAGTTACATTTTGAAGATAATTGAAGTTTACTCTGCAGAGATTGAGAAACAATATGCCAGGTAGTAAAAGCAACAATTGAAAATAATAAAAGTAATAGGTGGTATTCACTGAACATTTATTTTATGCTGTGTTTTTCTAATTGCATTGTTATATTAACTCACTTAATCCTCATGATAATCCTAGATTGTAGGTGCTATTTTTAATCCCTGTTTTATAATTGAGGAAATTTGTTCAAGGTCACTCAACTATTATGTATTAAAGCTAGAAAAGTTTGAAAGTGCATAAGCTGCTCCTGAGATGGCAAGTAGTCTTGAGATGATGGAGGAAAAGCTGAACAGTACCACAGATGTGGGTTGCAACCAGATTTTATGGAGGGAGTTTTGTATCTAGTACAGTAGATGAAGAACTGTGGAATATTTTCAGATAAGACAGTAGTATGATGAAATTCATTATGGAGGCAGGACAGTATTGCTCCATAATTTTATAATTTGATTTAGGAATTTTAATCTCTACAATTTGATTTAAATTTAGGGAAGATATATTTAGGAAAGTCATAAAAATTTTAAAGTATGTACTGTTGATAAAATGTAACTCATACTTTCTGCTGAAGGCTTTGGGGTTGGTTTTGTAGTTTTGGTTGTTTGGGTTTTTTGAGACCATGTCTCACTGCGTAGTTCAGGCTGGCCTTGAACTTACTATGTAGCCCAGGCTGGCCTCAAATTCACAACAATCTTCCTGCCTCAGCCTCCCAAGTGAATGTACCACCACACCTGGCTAAGATTTTCATATGTTGTCTTAAAATTTAAAGCATAAAAAAACTTTTCATAGAATCTATTTCATACTGCAACATTTTCCTGCAAAAGACTGGAATAGCCAACAAAAAGCAGTCAAATGTTAATAGAAGAATTTAATTAAGGATTGCCTTTATTGCTCTGCCCTTGCTTATCTTTTATTTCCTCTGATAAATTTTCATTTTATGTTATTTTGGCATATGATTGTTTTGACTTACTGTTTTGACTTTAGAATGATATATCAAAGGAACTGACCAGAATAGTTTTATAAAATGACACTTCTATCTATTCTCCTCAACCATAAGCTGGGAGACTTTATGGTACTGTGTTAACCAGAAGATGATTACAAGTGACAGTGACTAAGAGCAAGTTTGTCTGATGTAGTAAGTTAGTAGCTTTCAAATGGTTAATATTAAAAGATTTTCTTGTTTATATTTCTGTATAGAATTATTGATTTTTAAGGTATCCTTTCTTTGTTTCTTCCTATTATCATTTCTCAGATGATACCAAGTCAAAAATCCTTCTAAAATAATTAAAGTACTCATTAATTGCTGAAATGAGGTTTTATTCATGCATATGGAATGTACTCTTAAACACCCTCCCAAAAGGATATTCTGTGAAGGGGAACTGACAAATACATTTATTAATATCTCAGAGTAGGAAGGTCATTCCTCTGTCACACAGTCATACTGGTGTTACATATTCATATAGGTATTGTACAAGGAAAATTCATGTGCTTCAGTGTCCAAAACTGTTTAATTTTTCTAATTCATCTTCTTTTTGTATAAAGTGACTGCCTTATTGGGTATAAAAATGAAGTATTGAACTTAATGCCTTGCATATATTAGCAGGTATAAAATAAATGTTCACTGCCTATTTTTGTAGGGCTTCTTTTTTATGTATCTTTATATAAAATAAGCATTTTTCCTTTTTATTTTAGGTTTTGCTTCTACCTGCTGCAGGAAATACCTAAATATCAGATATAGAAAACACATACTGCTCACAAGTCCCTTGGGATGTTTCCTGTTATTCTTCACAAAATAGAGCTCATCAATCACTTTCTTAGCATTTTTTAAGCCTAAAAATCAATCTATATGGAACAAATAGTAGCTAATCTCTGACAATTACTGTCCATTCTTAGAACTTTGCACTTTATAGCACCTCTGTGCATCTCAGTGTACTTTCCTTCCATTTCCAGAACTAGTTATAAATGTCCCTAGGGACATTTCCTCACATCCTGTGAAAAAGCACAAGGTCATCAAGGATGGGAAATAAATACAGAAAAAAACACATTTATAAAATTAGATAAGTATAGTATGATCTTTACAGGAAGGAAAAACAACTTTCCCTAAGTTTCCTGGTGGGAATAAGAGAACCCTTTCCTCTTTATCTTCCTTGAATTTTAAATAACAGACTATCATAGATGATGTTAGTAAATAGATAACATTAACTTTCTGATACATATTTTTCTTGGCCACTATTTCTGATATTTAACTCTTCCTTCTATAGATTAATAGATTAAGTAAAATGTCCACTTGCTTTAGGATTTTTGCATATTTAAGGTTTGCATGTTTAAGATTTACTTAAATGGAATATTTTATGTATCTATTAAGAACAAATATTAGCAAAAACTGTCCTTGTTTATAAGAGACTCTAAAGGGTTAATATACCATGCAGAAATTATACTCAAAAATTCTCACCAATATGGATAACTTTTTCCACTTCTAGACATTTTGGGTTGTGCATAGCACTATCTCATAAACTTGGAAGATGATGATAGAGAACCTGTGGGAAATCCTCCTGCTGGGTAAATAGGTATCATCCTTTTGTGCATATGTTGGGTGCAGTATCCAAAAGTTAAAGGCTTTGACTAAAAACATGA